TCTTGAAAGAATTCAAGAAGATATATGTGGACCTATACATCCACCGTCAGGACCGTTCAAGTATTTTATGGTATTGATCGATGCATCTAGTAAATGGTCATATACATCCTTACTGTCAAGTCGTGACATGGCATTTGCAAAATCTCTTGCACAAATAATTAAACGTAAAGCTCAATTTACTAACTACACTATAAAGAAAATTAGACTTGACAATACAAGTGAATTTACATCTGAATCATTTAATAATTATTGCATGTTACTTGGAATTATTGTTAAATATCATGTTCCTCATGTGCATACACAAAATGGTTTAGCCGAGTCTTTAATCAAACGTCTTTAATATATTGCTAGACCATTAATAATGAGAACTAAACTAATAGTTACAGTTTGGGATCATGCAATTTTACATGCTGCAACACTCATCTGTCTAAGGTCAAGTGTCGATCATAAATATACCCCTTATCAACTTGCAATTGGTAAGGAACCAAATATTTCTCATTTAAAGAATTTTGGTTGTGCAATATATTTCCCAATATCTCCACCACAAAGAACAAAGATGGGACCTCAAAGGAGGTTAGGAATATATGTGGGGTATGAATCATCATCTATTATTAAATATCTTGAACCTTTAATAGGTGATGTTTTTCAAGCAAGATTTGTTGATTGTCATTTTGACGAGACATAATTTCCAATGCTAGGGGGAGAGAATAAAAAGGTAGAAAATGAAATAACATAATATGCACCCCATTTATTATATTTGGACCCATATAATAGATCATGTGAAGAAAATGTAAAGAAAATAGTACACTTACAAGATTTAGCAAATCAATTGCCAGATTCATTTACTGATTTGAAAAGAGTGACAAAGTCATGTGTACCAACAATAAATGTCCTAGCTAGAATTGAGATTTCAAATCTAAATTATGTAGAAAGTACATCTAAGGCACACTTGAAGCGTGGCCGGCCTATGGGAACCAAAGACAAAAATCCCCGAAAAAGAAAAGTAATAGAAAAGGTGAATTTGATTGAAAGTGACATTGAAAAGATATTAGATAATAATAATAATAATAATAAATCCACGATTGAAAATCTTGCTCTTAAAGAAGCATAATATGATGATAATGAGATCATTGATAATGAAACTGAAAACAAGAATGATCTCGAGATTTCAATTAATTATGTTAATACAAGAAATTTGTTGAACCCAAAGGTATGAATATTGATGAGATATTTTCATTCTCAGTTACATGTGAAATTACGAATAAAAATAATGGCCCCGAACCCCGATCTATGAATGAATGTTAAAATAGACATGATTGGAAAATTTAGAAGGATGCTATAGATACTGAATTAAATTCTCTTAAAAAACGAAATGTATTTGGCCCTATTATGGCTATACGAAAAGATGTGAAACAAGATGGATATAAGGGGGTCTTTGTAAGAAAACAAAATAAGAAAAATGAAATTGTCAAATACAAACTCGTCTTGTTGCACAAGGTTTTTACCAAAGACCAGGAATTGATTACGAGGTAACATATTCTCTTGTTATCGATGCCATTACTTTTTGTTATTTAATTGGTTTATCAGTATTTAACAATCTTTATATGTATCTTATGGATGTTGTTACTGCTTATTTATATGGTTCAATTGACATTGATATATACATGAAAATCTCAGAAGGATTTAAAATGCCTGAGACATCAAAACCTATAGAAATGTATGTAATTAAGTTGCAAAGATCATTATATGGATTAAAGTAATCCAGACGAATGTGCTATAATAGATTAAGTGAATATTTATTAAAGAAGGCTATGCGAATAATCCTATTTGCCCTTTGTGTTTTTATAAGAAAACTAATATCTGGTGTTGTAATAATTATTCTCTATGTTGATGATTTAAATATCATTGAAACTAATAAAGAAATTAAGGAAGCAAAATATTACTTAAAGAAAGTATTTGAAATGAAAGATTTGGAAAAAACTAGGTTATGTCTTGGTTTACAAACTGAGTATACTAAAAATGATATATTGGTACATCAATCAAATTATACAGAAAGCGTATTGAAAAGGTTTGACATGGACAAAACAACCCCTTTGAGTATTCTAATGATGGGTAGAACACTTAATATTGACAATGATTCATTTAGACCTAAGGAAGGTAATGAAGAAGATCTTGGTTCTGAAGTACCATATCTCAGTGCCATTAGGGCACTTATGTACCTTGTTAACTATACAAGACCCGATATAGCTTTTGCAGTGAGTTTCCTAGCAAGATTCAGCTCATGTCCTACAAAAAGATATTGGAAAGAATAAAATATATATTTCGATATCTTTGAGGTACATCTGATCTTGGTTTGTTTTATTATAACAATACAAAACCAATTTTGCTTGGTTATGCAGATGCATGATACTTGTTAATTTCACATAATGCTAAATCACAAACTGAATATATATTTACATATGGTAACACTGCAATATCATAGAGATTGCAAAATAAAACACTTGTAGCAACTTCTTCAAATCATACTGAAGTAATTATCCTTCATCAAGCAAGTAAATAGTGTAGATGGTTACAATCGGTGACTCGACATATCCAAGGAGTGTCTGGTTTACTAATTGATAATAACCCAACAATTTTGTATGAAGACAATGCTGCATGTGTTACCCAGATGAAATAAGGTTACATAAAAAGTGATAGAACTAAGCATATACCTCCCAAGTTTTTCTCATTCACACAAAAACTTGAAAGAAACAAAGAGGTTGATATTCAGTATATTCGTTCAAGTGATAATGTGACAAATATCTTTACAAAGACACTTTCTACATCCGTTTTCAAAAAGCATGTACAAAATATTGGAATGCGTCACCTTCGAGATCTTTAAAGAAGAACTATACGTGTTCTGTTGAGGGAAAATATAATATTGTACTTTTTTCCCCTTATTAAGGTTTTTATCCCAATGAATTTTTCCTTATAAAGTTTTTAACGAGACAACGTATGTTCTCATAAGATTCTTCTCAACAAAATTTCAAAGGAGCACCATAATAAATATTTCTAAGGGGGAATGTTATAATAATGAAGAGTATTTATTATAATTATTTAGAAATTTATATCTAATAGTCAAATTTAAAATAATAATGACAAATTATTAGTGATGTATAATTTGTCAAAGATAGAATAGTAATAAAAATTATAATAGTAATATTTCTACTAGTATAAATATACCCCCTTTGATAAATGTATATGACACCAAATTTTACTTTGAAAGATAAAAAAATATTATTCCACTTTCTTCATATTTTTTCATAGTTGGATATCATAAATATCATATTTATATCTAATTTTTCAACTAAGTTAAATTCAAATATCTAATTTTTCTCAACAAGAAAGACTAAAATTATAATTAAAAAAACTATTTATTATATACCATTGAATACACTATCTTCTACAAATAAAAAATTAATAAATAAAAAGTGGTGCTAAATTCAAAAATAGAAGCATTGAATTGACTGTTTAAATTTTTATTTTTGATAAAAAAACTATTTTAATTTAAATATAAAGTATTAATTTAGAGGGAATATTTTAATTAATTTCCAAAAAATCTTTCACCTTTTCTTCATCTATTTGATTGACTCAACTCAACGCAACCCAAAGCAACATTTGCGTTCTCAGTTCTTTGATCCAAAGATTCTCTCCCTATATCTCCTCCTCCGCTTCCACCGGTCACTCCTCTCTTTCATTTCAACTATGGTCAGTTTCTTCTATTTCTCTTTCTTTTTCTACTTTTCATTTTCGCAGATCTGATTTTGATCTCGATTTCGCTTTACTTTATAGTTTTTCATGATTTTCTTTGATCTTATTTTCTCAGAAATAGATGCGTTATGTGATGAAGATGAAGCGATTTTTTATAATTATTTTTTTTTTGTTAATTAATTAGTGTAAATCATGGTTTTAATCTATTTTCAGGAGGTGATATTTAGTTTATGATTTCTCTAATTGCTTGATTCTGGACTGTATTATGTGTGATTTGATTTTTATTACCTGAACATTAGGTTCAAAAAGTTGTTTTCATTTTTTTTAATTCTTAAAAAGCTAAATATAAGTTCTAGGGTTTGTTTGAATAAAATGCTTATTTATAAGCTATTTTGAAGAGAAATAAGCTGAAATAAGCTCTTTATTATGCGTTTTAACAAATGTTGTCCGGTTTCGATCAAGCTGTTTTATATGTCGGTTATGTGTGTACAAATTTTTCAGGCGAATGCGGCATCAGGTATGGCGGTCCATGATGAATGCAAGTTGAGGTTTATGGAGCTCAAGGCGAAAAGGACACACAGGTTTGTAGTTTACAAGATTGAGGAGGCTCAGAAACAAGTCATTGTGGAGAAGCTTGGTGAGCCCTCCAAAGGCTATGAAGATTTCGCTGCTTTTCTTCCGGCTGATGAGTGTCGCTATGCTGTTTATGATTTTGAGTTTATCACTGAAGGCAATGTCCCTAAAAGCAGGATTTTTTTCATTGCATGGTGATGTTCTGTTTAGGTTCTTCCTGTTATTTTTGTAGCTTTGGTATTTTGATTATAAATCTAAACATGTTGGTTTCTTTTGAAGGTCTCCTGACACAGCAAGGGTTAGAAGCAAGATGATTTATGCAAGCTCCAAGGATAGATTCAAGAGAGAGCTTGATGGTATTCAGATTGAGTTGCAGGCAACTGACCCTACTGAGATTGGTCTTGATGTGTTCAAAAGCCGTGCCAACTAAATGATCTTCAAGAGGGGCAGCATTTGTACTGGGGTGAGCCCCTTAATGCTTTGTTACTTTTATTGAAATTTCTAGTTTGTGGAATGGTCATAATATCTCATGATTTGTGATTTATGCCTCCTCTATGTTGGAGTGGCATTTTAGTCTTATGCTTATCTATCAGTTGAATTTGTAACTGTTTTGTGTGATGAAACAAAAATTGGGGTCCTGTTTTACTTAAAAAGGCTATTATATCCTTTTTTTTTGTATGGATAGGAAAAGAAAAGAAATCCCATCTATTATTACTTACAACATTTATTTTATTGTTTGGTGTTATCAGATCCTATTATATTGGTTGATTATTATTCTTCAAAGTTTTACAAGTCTAATAGTTAGAGAAGTTATAGCTCTTGTCGAAGATTGTTTTGTATCATTTCTTTTGCTTTTAATTATAGGAGGATGTTTTGTGAATTCAAAGGCATTGAGGGTATGTTTGGGAGTTTGGTTTTGATATATATTTGAGATTTAAAAAAAAAAAAATTAAAAGAATAACATGATAAACTATCCTATAACATTTTAATCACACTTAATTCATTTTTAAAAACATTTTATAGCTTCCTTAATTTAAAAAAGAAAATACATCCTCTCTTCACCTCCCAAATCCTCCATCCAAACACACCTTAATAGTCTTCAATTTTCAACGCCTATTATAATATAGGAGGTTTTGCATCCAAGCTTTATGATATGCCCATTTTTACCAAAAAGGAAAGGTGAAGTGTCTTTTCATAAATTTATCTAGATTTGATTGTACAAACCTTATATTATAATATTCTTGGGACTATCTTTGGTTGAGGATAGTCCAACTCTGCCCTTCCCTAGCCATACTACTCTTATAGACTCTCAAATAACTCCCAAGAAAGTCATTTCTAGAACACAACTCTTTCCATCTCTGAATTTTACTTAAAATTTTAATTTATTTTCCAGAGAAACAAATTACTTCCATTGGCAGCTACTAGTCTATTACAATTATTGTCACAATATTCCCTAAAGCTTTGTTTGGATTGATAGAATCGGATGGAGCGCAGCGGTATAAGATGGAATGGAGTGGTGCTCCATTGTTTGGGTTATTTAAAATCGGATGGAGTGGAATGGTGTGGTATGAATTCCCATTCCATCACTTGCCACTATGTTTGGATTGGTGGTATGAGATGAAATGGAATGGAGTGAAAACTAATAAGATTCCATTGTTTGGATTTGACAATAATGGATGGAATATGATGGAATCCATTCCATTCAATTCTCTATTTTTTGTTCCATTCAATTTGGGGTGTATGTGATGGAATGAGACATTTTTAATAAAATAACCAAACAATGGAGTGGAATTTATATTCCATTCCACTCCGCTCTATTCCGCTCTGTTATGTTCCATTCCGCTTCGTTATGTTCTATCAATTCAAACATGATTTTTTCTTCCCCACCGATACGTGCGGCCTGAAAAATTTGCCTTGTTCTGTCCTAAAATTTCCAAATGATGGAATGTAATTTTCGTTCCGCTTTGCATCATTTCACTCTGCTTCTTTCAATTCAGCTCCGTTCATTTTATGATATCCAAACATAGCATTAAAAGTGTCTGATATCATGTAAAATTGCTTTTCAAAAGTGTCTTATTATCCTCCTTTCGGTAACCTACTAGTGTTCTAATTATTGCAACACCCAGGCGAACAAAAGTTGGAAAAATATTTGACCATATCAAATTACACAATACAAAATTATATTTAATTAATATTTCACGGTAACAAAGTATACATAAAGAAAACTCTCACCAAATTAAACACTTAAAAATCACACCATTTCGAATTACAACATTTATTTATTCACTAGTTAACCACCAAAGGCGAGGGACTCTCCTTATTCCAAGATTAAGGCTAACCATCAAGCTTCACTGATGAGTTATAACTAGTTCACATATCACACTGATTGGAGAAATCTGGATTTGAACCAAATGCATGCCTGAACCCAAAATCATATATCACACTAAATAATAATTACTATGAAATATTCTCCATTGTCATCATATTTCATATATCATTCCAATCTTGAGAAGCCTAGAACGTGGGATTTGCATTAAATTATCTCCTTGTCTAAAATTTCTCCTCAAGAAATTATAATTATGATTGACAACTATCTTCTTAAGTATAGATGAGTTTGGCTCTGCTACTACTTCTGCTTCTCCCAGCATATAAACCACACTTTTCTCCATTGCCCTCTGCACAAAGGATATCTCCTCTTCCACTCCCTGCAGATTTTGATTAGAGATTCTACTAGTCATTCCAAATGAGTGAATAGAATCTGATGAAGCACCAGACACAACCACCCCTTGATATGAAGAAGTTGCTGCTGGTGCTATTCTATTTGAAGAACCTTTGCTGTCCTTTACAACATCATCACTGTTTGATTGTTGTTGGCTCGTTACAAACAAGTTGTTATTTGTTTGGTCAGCATCAGTTCCTCCCACCCCCTCAATCAAATAAGTAACATTTTGGTCGCTAATAAATTCTTTGAGTTGTTCTACTAATTGTTGCTCAAACTCGTTTGGTTCTCCAATCACATCGTTGTAGCCATACCTCACAACACAGCGGAAAATTCTGTACTCTTTTGGTTGAATCTGTCTGAAAAGAAATCTCTCATCTAAGCCAACTTTGCTAATAGGGATGGACTTCATGGAAACAAATACTACTACAGAATGAATGTGGGGTAGGTTGGAAATAACATGAGCAAATATTGGTGGAACTCCTTCAACTAGTTCTGAGTATATAAGTGATACTCCTGGAATTCTAGATACAACCCTTTTGCTTACTAGTTCTCTTACATATTCACCAGATCTTGAGCTCAAATAAGTACCTTTTTCTGTGTGTAGTGCCAAATCCCCATAATGGTCATTAAAAACAAAGAAAGTGCCAAAGGGAGAAAACCTCCTTGAACGAATTTAGTTAACATGGACGATAAATACACAATCTCTATCAAACCAAATATCACAACAGAAAGAGCTATCCACAATATGCTTGTCTTCCATATAACAAGCATTATTAGAGCAACCATGCATGTTGTGACCAGCATTACTATACACACAGCAATTCCTGTAATAATGCTAAGTAATTAAGCTAACTGACATTTAACACTCATGTTTTTCGTATTAAATATTCGTGAGAAATAGAAAAATAGTGGTTAGGATTTATAGTATTTGTAGAGAAGTTGAAGTTGTTATATACATACCATAAGCATGACCAATATTATCTGTGGTTCTAAAGGCAGCACAGTCTATGACACAAGAGATCATAAGAAAGTAGTTGATCTCAGGTATGTACACTTTGTTAGATGCAATAAGAATTCAATAGAAAACAACTAACAGTACTGGGAATGACTTGTTTATTCATTGTGAAATGCAGTAAAATAAATAGGGAACAAAATGAACGTGCAGTAACAAACTACAACTCACTTCTAGCTAAAAATAAGGAAACAAACTTGACTAAATCAATTCAACAAACTATCCTAAAAACTAGGTCCCTTATTTGACTAAAGACTTATCATTCCCTCCCTTGAACTAGACTGTATTTGCAGCTAGTTAACATGTGGTAGTTCACACACTCCAAGCCTCCTTCTTAGCTCCCGAAATAGCTCCAATTTGAGCGGTTTGGTGAAAATATCGGCTATCTGCTGCCTTGTACCACAAAACTGAAGCTGCACAACTCCATCATTCACTAGCTCTCGTAAGAAATGGTAGCGCACATCAATGTGCTTGCTCTTGCCGTGCATCACCAGATTTCTCGCCAACTTAATTGTTGAGCTATTGTCACAAAAGATGACAGTACTCTCACTGCCCGTGTAGCCAATCTTCTTTAGCACCTTTTGCATCCATATTGCTTGACAACAACTTCCTGCAGCTGCAATAAATTCAGCTTCGGTTGTGCTTAGTGTTACGATTGGTTGCTTTCGAGAAGACCAAGTCACAGCTGCTCCACTTAGCATAAAAACATAGTCTGAGGTGCTTCTTCTATCTTCCACTGATCCGACATAATCGCTGTCAGTAAAGCCAATCAACTCATGACTTCCTCCCCTTCTGTAAAGAATGCTGAAAGTTGTTGTACCTTGCAAGTAACGTAGAATTCTCTTGGCTGCCGAATGATGAAGTTTTGTAGGCCTTGACATATACCTGCTTAATAAGCTTACTGCATACATTATATCCGGTCTCGTAGCGGTCAAGTACATCATGCTCTCAATCAGCTGTTTGAAGAATGAACCATCCATCTCAATACCATTTTCATCTTTGGAGATTTTGAATCCTGGAACCATTGGATTTTCAACATAATTGCTATGCTCCATTCCAAAACGTCTCAACACTTCCATCACATACTTCGCCTGACTGATGAATATACCACCATTAAATTGAACTACCTCAATACCAAGAAAATACTTCATCTTACCCAAGTCCGTCATATCAAATTCCTTCATCATGGACTCTTTGAATTCAACCATCATATTCTCATCATCTCCGGTATAAATTAAATCATCAACATACAAGCTAATGATTAAATGTTTACCTTGTTTGTTGACTTCCGTAAACAAGGTTTGCTCGCTGTCCTCCTTCCCAAAACCTTCCTTTCTAAAATATGATTCAATCCGGCTGAACCATGCTCGTGGTGCCTGCTTGAGTCCGTACAAAGCTTTGTTGAGCTTATACACCTTATGTTTCTCATTCTTTATTTCATAACCTCTTGGCTGCTCCAGGTACACGTTCTCAATTAACTTCCCGTGAAGGAAAGCTGATTTCACGTCCAGCTGAAACACACACTATCTTCTTTGTGCTGCAAGTGCTAAAATCATTCGAACTGTGTCCATGCGAGCTACGAGAGCATATAGTTCTTCATAATCAACTCCGTATTCCTGAGCATACCCTTTTGCGACCAAGCGAGCCTTGTGTTTATCCACTTCTCCGAGCTCATTCAACTTTGTTTTGTACACCCATTTGACTCATATTCTTTTAGCTCGTTTAGGAAGCTCAATAAGATTCCATGTTTCATTCTTCTCAATTGATCTCATTTCGGCATCCATGGCTGGTCTTCATTTCTCCTCCTTTACTGCTTCGTCAAACAAAATTGGATCAGAATGAACAGCACTAGCAAACAAGGCTAAGTGAGTTTGTACCTCTTCCCCTTCATCTGAAAGACCATCACCAGAGACAAATTCATTCAAATATGCTGGTGCTCTTATCGGAGGAGTTGCTTCATCTTCTTCATTGCCATCACTGGATTCGTCCCTCGCCGAAGAAGCTACATTTTCTTCTTCACTACCATCGTCGAAAACCTTCTGTCATCTTCAGAGCTCCTCTCCCATTTCCATTGTTCTCCTTCTTCGAAGATGACATCTCGACTAATTATAATCCTCTTAGAGACAGGATTATATAGCCGGATATGCCTTTGATTCTTCGCTTACCCCTAAAAGAACACAACAATGGCTCTTATCCTCAAGCTTTGTTCTCCGAGCATCCAGTACATGAGCATGTGCTATACAACCAAAGACTCTCAAGTGCTCGACTGAAGGTTTCACCCCACACCAAGCTTCTTCTGGCGTCATTTGTTTCACTGATGATGTCGGACATCTATTAAGAACATAAAATGCCCAATTCTCTGCTTCTGCCCAGAGTTTTCTTGGAACATTCTTCTCAACCAATAAGCTCCTCACCATATTCATCACAGTTCTATTTTTCCGCTCAGCAACTCCATTCTGCTGCGGTGTATATGCAGCAATTAATTGCCTCTTGATCCCATTCCTTTCACAATATTCTTTGAACTCATTTGATGTGAATTCACCCCCACGATCTGTTCTGAGACATTTAATGGGCCAACCAGTTTCTTTTTCCACAAGAGCTTTGAATAACTTAAAGTAAGTGAATGCATCTGACTTAAAAGCAAGAAAATACACCCATGCCTTCCTACTATAGTCATCAATGAAGCAAATAAAATACCTCTTGATGCCCTCTGAAACTGGAGATATTGGGCCGCAAATATCAGCATGAACGAGCTCCAACTTTGATGATGCTCTCCATGTACTTTTCTTTGGGATTACATCTCTATGTTGTTTCCCTTTCAAACAATCGCTGCACTTAATCTCACCCTCGGAAAAACTTGGCAAGCCTCTCACCATGCCCTCTGTTTGCAAAGTCTTCAATCCTTTGTAGCTGAGATGACTGAATCTTCGATGCCATAAATGAGCCACGTCTTGAGTGATTACTTGGAGACACTCTTCATCTCTTTCCTTTTTGACTGATCGACTGTTTGATAGCAACACAAACATTCGATTGGCAGCCATGGTGGTTTTGAAAATCAATCCCTTTGTGTGGTGATAAATCCGACACATATTTGACTGCATCAGAACATCCAAACCATTTTCTTGCAGCTGCCCAACACTGAGAAGATTATTTTTCAACCCCGGTACGTAATACACATCCCGTACAAGGTAATTCACTCCTTTTACAGTCAGTCGAACGCTTCCCTTTCCAACAACATTCATGCTTGCATAATTCCCCAATCTTACCACCTTGTTGAACCCTTTTTCTAAATCACAGAAGAGAGATGAATCACCACACATGTGGTTGCTACATCCAGAGTCAATAAACCATACATCGTCTCGATCACCTCCAAGCGTATCGGTATACGCCATTAGCACCATCTCTTCAGATTCATCCAAATTTGCATAATTTGCTTGACACTCGTATTGAAAGTGTCCAAGCTTATGATACTTATAACACTCAATCGTATCTTTGCTCCAGTTTAGGCGACCCCTGTCTCTACCTTGTCCTCGGCCTCCTCTGAAAGCAACTTTCCCTCGTCCTCTTCCACCATAGCCCTCTTCATGAGTCACTTTCAAAGCATGTTCTTCTCCTCCATCTCCTTTGAACTTTTGCTCATGAACGAGCAGAGAACTTTGCAAGGCATCCACAGAGAGTTGATCTATGTCCTTGGCTTCCTCAATGGAACAAACAATGTAGTTCCATTTATCAGTAAGTGTTCTCAAAATCTTCTCAACGGTTTTGACATCACTCACATCTTCCCCATAATTCCTCATGTCATTTGCAACCGTCATTACTCGACCAAAGTAATCATTTATCGATTCGCCTTGCTTCATTGCCAGAACCTCAAAGTCCCGGCGTAGACGATTGAGCTGTGCTCTCTTCACTCGAACATTACCTTGACACTTCATCTTCATAGAATCCCAGAGCTGTTTGGATGTCTCCTTCTGCGTAATCGTCTTCAGAATTGACTTGTCAAGTGATTGAAACAAATAATTCTTAGCTTTCAAATCCTTCAGCTTCATCTCCTCTAGGTTCTGTTTTTGCGTTGCTGTCATCCCATCCATACTCGTTGGCTGGCTGTAGCCCGGTTCGACAACAACCCAGTACTCCTTGGATCGAAGAAGATTCTCCATGACCATGCTCCAATGATCGTAGTCACCGTCGAACTTTGTAATGGACGCTGAAACAAAGTTTTCTTCTGAACCCATCTCTCTCAAGTCACGCTCTGATACCAGATTGTTAGATGCAATAAGAATTCAATAGAAAACAACTAACAGTATTGGGAATGATTTGTTTATTCATTGTGAAATGCAGTAAAATAAATAGGGAACAAAATGAACGTGCAGTAACAAACTACAACTCACTTCTAGCTAAAAATAAGGAAACAAACTTGACTAAATCAATTCAACAAACTATCCTAAAAACTAAATCTCTTATTTGACTAAAGACTTATCACACTTGACCTTCATACTTCTCAGAGGTATGTACCACCTTAACACTAGGGAAACATCACAAACTTTGTGACTGTTGGATTATTGAATACGTCCCTGAAATCGTAGACTGACTTGCAATGATAGCAGCAGAGACAGCCACAACAAATGTTGGCCAAAATATTGGATCTACATGTGATTTCAAAAAACAACTAAGATTAGTAAATGTTGACTTAATATTCCACTATATTAGTCATTTCATGAATCTTTGTGATTAAACATCAGTTTCTCATTCCTACATAGAAGAAACTTACCAGGTATTGAGTTATAAAAGGTATTCCCAATTTGATCTGCTTGTCCACACTGTATGCGCATACTAATGCAGGAAATGTAATAAAAGAAAAACTAATCCGCAATTGCAATATGAAAGTTATTAGTTCTATTTAGAAGTATATGACTTGGAGCACCGCATTGCATTTATTTACTTACTTGAATTGCATGCACATCGAAGTGACCCAAGTCTGCAAACATGGCCTCAGTCCCTGGTTCACAAACAGTGTTATAGAAGAATACATACGTATGGGCATATATTGATTGATATACACTATGAACATAGAGAAGCTACTAGCAAAACAATTGATGGCACCAGTTACCTGTAATGCATAGAAAGATTCCACCAAGAGAAATCCACCCATCTTTGCCATTCCTTTTCATGTACTCTACAAATGTGTATTGGATTGAAGGCTCTCAATACACCAACATCACATTTGACCAAATTGTAAAGACCTATGCCTCCAATGAATAAAAACCACACCAAGATGATTGGGGCGAATGTGTAGCCCACTTTATCAGTTCCAAATCGTTGGAAAGCAAAGAGAATAATCAAGATTCCTATTGAGATCCCAACAACAGCACCTGAACTTGCACCAATATGGAAAGTTATTGTTCTTGGCCTATATTATATCTTCTCAAATAACCAATGGCATCTATTATTTAATCTTATTAAAAATGATATAAGGTATTATCAGGGTTTTAAAAAAAGGGTATGCGGCCGTGAAAACAGCCGCGACAAAACTGTTTCAGCAGATATTAATATTGATACCATTATCATTGTTTTTATATTAAAGAACAAATTGTGATTACTTTACACCACTGCGAATGCAATCAGTATCACAATAGACGTGAATGTTATTTAAAGCCTTACATGTTATTGGTCTCTCAAAAATACAATTTAGAATGTGTTGGAGTGTGTCTTCGAATCTACTATTATTATTTTCTTCATAATTAGAGTGTTTGATTAAGATATTTGGCACACTTCTAACTAATGGTTACAACAAACTTCGAATCTACAATTATTTTTTCGTCATAATTAAATGGTTAAATCAAATGGCCAAATCAAACCAAAGTTTAAATAATTAATTTGTTATGGTTAGTTAGTGAAGTGAAATTGTATTGCATAAATAGTTTTCAAATTGAATCAAATAGTAAATAAATCGAATTGAATTTGAAATCAAACTGAAATTTAAAATGAAAAATATTTTAAAAAATTCAAAAAAAGTATAACTTTTTAATTTTTTAACAGTTTGTTTTAAAAAAAATTATCTTATGGTATGCTGCGATGGTTTAGAATTCCGAAACAATCTATTAAATCAATAATTTTGGTTTAATTTAATTTTTAATAAAATGAAAGTATACGATTCGGTTCGACTGATATTTTTTTATGGTTTAAAGTTTTTAAACTTAATTGTACCATAAACTAGTCAAGGTTGTAACAAGAAAACGTTTGTGTGTTTTAAAGTTAAGCACAATTTGCAAGTATATGTAAAGTAAACCTTGTCCAAGTGACGAAATCTTGTTTTATATTCCCCCGACTGCTGATAGTACTGCACAACACATGATTATATTAAATATATACATAGATATAAAGAATGAATAAATAAAAAAGTAGAAATTTTCACCTGAAATGGATGGTGTGAGAATTCCATCTCCAATGACCATTGCCATGATTGTCACAATGAAAAGAAAAAGTTGAGCAAATTTACTGCTCTCTAATTTGTTCTTAATCTTTTGTGCCCTCTTTAACTGATTCGAAGGTGTTTCTAATTTGTAATGAGAAAGTTCAGGGTCTTCTGGTTGCTGATTTGGAATTAAACCCACTTTCGAATACCGGAAAATCAATTAATACAATGCAAATGTCCCACCTAATATCGATTCAAAAATAAATAAATGATGTTTTAATTAAAATATATAATAAAAATTATATAGAAAATATCAGATAAACGGAAAAAATCACATTAAACAAACATAGAGTATATATACACTTACCATCACAGTTGTCGTTAGCCCTCAAGACAATAAGGACGTATTTAAGAAATTGAATAAGTGCAATGGTATAGATAATGAGAGATAAGCATCCAAGAAGGTCTTGTGTGTTAGAGATACCCTTAGAGTTAAGAGTTAATATACCTTTTGTTCTCAGTCATTTTGTGAGATGTCGAAAAAAATTATATAAAAAAATATAGATTATGTCTTTTTATTTTGAAAATTTCTCTGTTTTAACTTCTCATTAGATTTGGTCAACGTGACCTAGCACATCCATTTAAATTTTTATTATTATTTTAATAGTTGAGTTTTAAAGCCTAAAATATAAAAATTTATAAAATTATAATTCGAGAGTAGAAATGTTAAAATGGGTTATTTGGTCTAAATGGATCGTCTTAATAGGCTTGGACTTTTTAAATTTGGGTTAAAAAATTCTATTATAATATGGGTCTCAAAATTACTACCTGAGTCCGATCTTAGATGGACATCGGCCTATCCGACTCTAAATGAATTTTTTTTAACAAAAAAATAAAATAAAAAATCTATAATATTATACTATTTTAAACATAATACATTTTTAATTATTATATTATATTTTATAAATATTATAATATAATTTTAAATACAACACATGTCTAAATTGTAGAAAATAATATTCAATTATTTAACATAAGAAAAACTAATAGAATACGAAGAAAGAATGTTGATTATATTAATATATAATATTTAAAACAGAAAAATTGAATAAAATAGAGATAAAATTTAATAAAGTGAGAAATATCAATGTATTATTTTAAAGTAACTCAATATAAAAATTAATATAATTAACCTTAATGGAATACCTACAACTCATGTGGACTAATCCTAATGAATAGCAGACTTTTAAAACTGAGTTAGAATTTTTTTTAAAAATATAAACTCTAATTTAAAGACCCAAGTCATATATTTTTTCGAGTCGGACAGACCGACACATGTGAACTAGTATTGACGAGTGTTAAACCCAAGACATGATATATTAGAGTACCTCTAACGGAGGTTTTTTCTTTGGTTTTTCAGGGTGACAAACGTAGTTTTATGATTTTAAACCGTTGGAGTTGGTCAGCTTGGCCAATCATAATAGTGCAATGCAACGGTTCTTAGAAATAAAAAATAATATAATTTAAAGTGCAGATTAATAATTGCTATTTCTTTTTTTTTTAAAACACTTTTAGTTGATTATAAATACATTCTATTTGAAATATTTTACACACAAGTTTTCTTTCACACTTTTATTTTTTTTTAAGTTTTAATTTCACTCTCAAAATTTCATCACTTTACTCTTAATTTTTAAATTTTCCTCTTATAATTTTTTCTCATTAGCTTTCATTTGACAATATATTTTATCTAAATTTTTATCTTTTTACTTCAAAATTAATATCATTTAAAAATGTTTAATTTTAATTTTATTTATTTTATATTAATTAAAATTAAAATTATTATGTTAAATAAAATAAAATTTAATATAAATAAAATATTAATATATAAAATAAAATTATAGAACTTAATATAAATTCTTTAGAATTATACTATTAAAATAAAAATTAAATGAATTGATTCAAAATGAATTATCTTAATGATCCCATAAAAAACTCAAAAATAAATTACACCAATGTTCTTAGGCGGCTCCCAGCCACTAGTCTGATAGCTTCAGTTTTGAAAAAATTTGCATCCAAAAACACTATATCATAGTTAATGTAACTATTTTGTCTTGTAATTTCTTAAACAAAAATATTTATTTCGTATTTAATGTTTATTAAATATAACAATTTTAATATTTAATATACTTTTAGACAGTATTTAGTTTTTATTATACTTTAATTTTAATATATTCAATTTAATATATTTATTTTTTATTTTTATTAAGTTTCAATTTTTACTTTTAGTTTAATATATTTAATATTTAAATATACTTTTACTTTCAATAAATAACATCTAAATAAATAAATAAATAAATAATATTTATATATTTTTGTTTTAGTAAATAATATTTAAATATACTTTTAATTTCAGTAAATAATATTAAATAGGTATTATATATTTTAAATTTTAATATAAATTATTTAAATAATATTTTTAAGAGTTAAATATATTTGTGTTTCTTATAAATATCTCAATTTTTATTTTTAGTCCCTTTAAAAAAAATTTCTTCAAACAATAATCTTCGTAAAGTTTTTCATCTACAATTTTAGTCTATATTATCAACTTTTATTAATAGAAAGTGGCATGATACACTACATAGAAAATAAATTTGCAAAAATCTAAACACAATTGAAATTGCGAGAGTTTTAAATCTTCTCTAAACAAATTCTTAAAAAAGAAGAAAGATATTGGTTGTAAAACTTTGACAAATATCATGCGAATAAGTTTTGCAACAACAATTGGTGGTTGTCAAAATGCTCTTCTCTTCAAATCACAATATTAACATGGTCTTGGTCCTCTTTATTGTTCAATTAAATTGTGGCTTATTCTTTTATTCTGAATTGTATTATTTAGTCTATGCATGAAGTGGTTTTTTTAACGATTTATGGTTCTTATGCACGAATTTTCTAAGTTGATGTTTAACTAATCTTAGAGTTTGTTTCAATTCTAATATTTAGAAACCTAGTTTCAGTCACTGGAATGATGGGTTAGGCGCTCAGTCTTTAGAATGAAATCAAAAAGCAAACAAAGTGATAGTCATTTCATCATTCTTGGGAACTCGAAAGTCAGAACAGAACTTACAATATTTTGTTTTAGTTACTGCACATACAACCTCACTTTCTTAGGTGAATTTGTTTAACATGCTAGTGACTAGAATCAGAATCTTTTACTCTAATAAATTGTTTCTACATAATTACTTAAACATATTTATTTTAAAAATATTATTTAAACTATTTATATTAATTTTAAAACATTCATCTTAAAATAATATTTATTTATGTATTTTGTAATAAGTTTTTTTTTAAACTTTATTCAATATTATACCAATACCAATTATGGTTTAAATAATATTTTTAAAATTAAATATAAATGGTTTTAAATGAAAATAAAAACATTAATCTTAAAATGATATTTTTTTAAACCATTTACATTTAATTTTAAAAATAATTTTAACTAAAATTTTAATTTGTGTAAATAATATTTGTGTACTTTTAAATTTTGTAAATAATTTGTGTACATACTAGTTTTATATTGGGTAAATAATTCGTATATATACTAATTTTACTTTCAGTTTATTATTATTTATTTTTTAATAATTATTTAATTTTTATTTTTAGTTTAATAATTCTTTTTAATAGTAAATTGAAATGTAAATAAACTATAAAATATATGTAATTTTAACACTCATAATACTTATTTGAAATTTAAAAATG